ACAAGGATTAATATAGAGAACAGTACAACGAATCGTCTTCTTTCTCTAATAATTTAGCGAACAGGCCAAAGCTGTAAGGAGGGCAACTGAATTCAGACGTGGATTAAGAGTAATAATTTAATGAAACGTGAAAGCTTCCGCGTTACGCGCGGAATGGGCGAAAATGAATACAGACAAGGATTAAGAGTAATAATTTATTGAAACAATAAAGCTTCGCGCGGTAGGGGGGAAACTGAATTCATGAAGGACACGATACAACAAATCGTCTTCTTTCTCTAATAATGTAATAAAATGTGAAAGCTTCCGCGCTTCGCGCAGGAATGGGCAAGAATGAATTAAGACAAGGATTAAGAGTCGAGAATGGAACATAGAATCGTCTTCGTTCTTTAATAATCTAATAAAAGTCAGAGTTTCCGCGCTATGCGCGGGGGAAGGGGAACTTGATTAAAACATTAATGATTAAGAGTCGAGAATGGTACATCGAATCGTCTTCTTTCTCTAATAATTTAGTGAAACGTCAAAGCTTCCGCGCTTTGCACAACCACGGATACAAATCGATACAAATTGCTTGTAAGTGGTTGAACTTGAGTATCTTCCATTGTGTCCTCTGTGGCAAGACATCAAATCTACATTTGCCACCCTCCACCCAAGTGTATAAATGGGTATTACCTTGTAAAATGCTTTCATTCGAACACATAAGTATGAGCATATAACGGTTACCGTAGCTATAATGTCGAGATACTTTTTCAAGGTAGTTTTCTTAGCACTTGAAGCGCATAGAAAAGGAATAATGTAATGTGATATTCGCCATACATAATGGAATGGTATCATTGTTGTTATTACTACGTAACAATATATTGTCTGTGTATTGATAATCCACATAATTTTGCCTTTGCAATTGTACTTGTTGAATCCTACTTGTCTTTCTTTTCTGTGAAAAAATAGAGCAATTATGAACAGCTGATTACGTTTTTGTCAATTGTTTCATAATTAAAATACCACAATTTTTGTATGAAATTATTATATATATTGTACAGTTTGAATACAATTTGATGAGGCAACTTAATGGGTAAAGAAGTGGCGATAAGATATGTTCATGTATAATTATTTCTGTGCTCAATTATAATATATTAATTAGTTGGATAGAGAAAATGCAAATCGTTCAAAATTACAGTTTACATTACAGGCGATAGGTCTCAGTTTTACCTTAATACTTAAGATAAGCCTCAAGACTTAAAGTAAAACTAAAGCAAATCACCATCATCATCCCCATCATCATAATTTTTATTATCATTATTACTATAATTATTGTCATCATTATCATCATACATTATCATCATTATCTACATCATCATCCTTACTAAAACTACTATTACTACATGCAGGCGCGCCGGAAGCAGTTTGGGATTGGGGGGGGGGGGGCAAACATTCCAGTGGGCTCACCTTCCAGTGGCAGTGACGTATTAAACGAGCAAAATCGTTTGGAAGGGGGGGGCAGAAGAAAAATCTGCATCACCACTACTCTTATACTTTACATGCAGTCCCCGCGGAACGTTTTTCAAAGTGGATTATTAACGATCAGGTAGAGCGTAAATTGGCGTAGGGTCCAGGGCCTGAGCCCCCAGAAGCTCAGAGGTTTTAGGCATTACAATTATGGTCAGATAAGCATATTTAGATACCTTATTTGTGACACTGGCAGGACACTAATTGGCGGAGAGCCCCCGAAAGCTCGGGGGCTTTAGGTATTTAATAACGGTCAGATGAGCATACAGGGGACCGCCTTAGGGCCCTTGGTGGGGTCCGGGGGCAGAGCCCCCATAAGCTCTGGGGTCTTAGGTATTTAATAACGGTCAGATGAGCATACAGGGGACCGCCCTAGGGCCCTTGGTGGGGTCCAGGGGCGGAGCCCCGTAAGCTCTGGGGTTTTAGGTATTTAATTACGGTCAAATGAGCATCCAGGGCCCCGCCTTAGGGCCCTTCATTGGTGGGGTCCAGGGGGGCAGAGCCCCCGGAAGCTGAGGGGTTTTAGTTATTTAATAACGGTCAGATGAACATACAGGGGACGGCCCTAGGGCCCTTGGTGGGGTCCAGGGGCGGAGCCCCCCGTAAGCTCTGGGGTTTTAGTATTTAATAACGGTCAGATGAGCATACAGGGGACCGCCTTAGGGCCCTTGGTGGGGTGCGGGGGCGGAGCCCCCGTAAGCTCTGGGGCTTACGGCATTTAATTACGGTCAGATGAGCATATTTTGATACCTCATTTGTGACTTTGGCAGGTCACCTATTTTTTCTCTCTCTCTTTCTTTTTTTTTCTCTGTAACAAACTTTTTCAAAAAGTGAGGGGGGCTCGAGCCCCCGAGCCCGGCCGTTCTGCAGACCCTGACATAAAGGCTTCTAAATAAGCATATTTTTCGCCCGACTCTAAATTTGGGAATTTTAAATTTTCCAACAAACGCTTAAAAAGGTATGACTTACAAAAAAATGGAGAAAAAATACCGGAAAATCATGTCATTTCAATCAACATTTGTAAATCACTGGTATCGAATAAAAATTAACCCCCCCCCCCCTGCATCAGTACGCCAGCTCATGAGCTTCTCACCCCTATAACAAAAAAACAGACACGCTTTCCCAATTTTCTCACAATATGTCCACAATATGCGCGTATCGCTATTATAAAAACCTTCATTGATAAATACAGGTAGCATGCGCAATGTTTAGGAAATTTAATTCATGTCAACTTTCCTTTTCTTTGAATGGAGTTTTATACGTCACTTAAGTCAGGTTTTTATTATTGTTATGTTCTTTTGGGTTAAAAATACAAACCATCTTAAGTCCTTTACTGCCTTTTTTTTTGAGGGGGCAAAAATACGTTTTGCCCCCCCCCCCCACTTTTTTGACTGGGGGGGGGGGTAACTGCCCCCCACTTCCGGCGCCTATGACTACATGGGGCTGCTGTTCCTGCCTGCCACTTGCTAGTATTGTTGTTCTTGCTTTTCCTTCTTCTCCCTTTTCTCCTTCTACTTCTTCTTTCTTTTCCGTCTTCTTCTACTTCTATCTTTTTTTTTTCTTCTCCTACTTCCTCTTTTTCTTCTTTTATTTTCTTCTTCTTTTTCATTTCTTCTTCATTTTCTTCTTCTTCTTTTCTTTCCCCTGTCCCCCTCCTCCTCCTCCTCTTCCTTCTTCTTCTCCTTCGACTTCATTCATTTAATGCACCACTGCACTACTTATAGCGACTTGCGCCCTCTATACAGCCAACAATGCCTAAGCGGTACCCGTTGATCCCCCATCATGCCCTTTTTCTAATGTTAATTGAGAGCTGATTTGATGAGATAACCACCTGCCAGTTACCTTGCAGGGAGGTATAATCCCTCCATGCCAAACCAGTGCAGAGGGGCTTGAATATATTATCAGGTGGATCATATTTAAACACGTTTCATTATCATTTAAGGCTCCCCCCTCTGTCTGTCTGACTCTTTATGCCTCTGTCTCTCTCTCTCTCTCTCTCTACTTCTCTCTCGCTCTCCATTTCTCTCTCTCTTTCTCTCTCTCTCTCTCTCTCTCTCTCTATCTCTTTCTACTTTTCTTTCTCGCGCGCGCTCTCTCTCTCCTTCTCCCCATCTTTTTCCTTTAGATCTTCCTCCTTTCTCTCCTCACCTCACCCCTTTCTTTGTTTGTTTTTCTGTTGCTTTCCTATTTCTCTCCCCCTTGTCCTATACCCTATTTTCTTCATTTCTTATGATCAAAATAAGTATTGTGTTTTAATCTATATGTATATTATATTAATAACTAAAAAACCCATCCCAAATTGGTCTTCCTTCCTTTGAATATTTCTGTCTTTCAAAATGCATTATCTCTCCGTTTCAATAGATACAAATACAATTAAAATATGAACTAAAGGAATACTGCTGGTTCATCTTTATTTATTTTCCAAAGTCATGTTTCTACAAATGCAAAAGTATTTAAAGGATCTCTACCAGATATTAAAGGCAAAAATATAAATTTTAAAAACAAATCAAATCGATCTATTACGGGGGTGTACTGTATATGTGTAAGAAATCTCTCCTCTTTGAAATAACATACGGCGAATTGCAGAAATTCCATTACAGTCAAATGAAAATAAAATGAGTATATTAATGATATTATTCAATATCATAGCATCGATTGATCATTTCTTAGCTCAAGATAAATTTACGCTGATACATGTATTTTGCTATAGAGATACGAATGAATTAAGAATATCAATAGAATGAAAAAATCTTTTTATTCTTAATCTATAAAACAAAATCTTTAAAATACGGCGAAATGCAGGAATTACATTGCAGTAAAATGAAAATGGAATATATTTTCATGACATTATTCAATAATGATATCATAGCATCAATTAATCATTAGGGTCTCAATCTTTCTTAATTAAAGATAGATTTGCGCTGATACATGTATTTACTATGGAGATATGAATGAATTAAGATCATCAATGGAATTTTAAAAAAGCTTCATAAATCTTAATATACAAAACAAAATCTTATATATACTACGTCTAATGTTAAGTCAGAGAAAAATAACAGCTATATTTATTGTAAGAAAACCCATAATGAAATGTGTACAAATATTTGATGGGTACGGTTCTGATCAGTGGCGTACGTAGGATTTTTTCAAGAGGGGGGGGGGGGGTTAACATTTCGAAATCTGGCCCAAAACTTAGCTAGCCGCTGACTAAGCGGGGGGGAATTTTTTTTTTTTTTTTTTTTTTTTTTTTTTTTTTTTTTTAGGGGGGGGGGGGGGGGGGGGGGGGGGGGGGGGGGGGGGGGGTCCCGAAATTTCAAAATTTGACCGATCGACAATTTGTTCCGTTGGGGGGGGGGTAAGGTTATCTTTTTTAGTTAGGTCATCCATTAGGATTTTTTTTTTTTTTTTTTTAAATAAAATAAATCAAAAATAAATAAAAACTCAAAAGGGGGGGTTCCCAGAAAACATACACATAACAAGAACTGAAGGGGGTTTACCCCCACCCCCACCCCCCCCCCCCTTGCGTACGCGCCTGGTTCTGATCGATTAAATCAACCCCATAGCAATGGAAATATGTTTCACTGCGACATTATTATTTTAGTTCAGTCATTTCCTTTTTAAATGTATTACATAATCAATACATTGCAGGAGGCAGGCCTGCCACACGTGTTTGATCAATCTTCCGAACAAAATCAAATTATTTGAAAGGAATATTGGTAGGTGTCGTTACTGTATTAAAAAAACTACTTTAAGGACGTCTTATGTTTAGTCAATGAAAATAAAAGACCTCAAAATCTAAGCCTATAGTTGAATAAAATGTTATACAATGTTGAACCCATCTCCGTAGAACCTTTAGCGGTGAACCAGCATTTCTAAGTTTCTTTTTAGAACAACCAGGGCATCCAGGTCTGAGAGATCATCCGCATCAGGATCAGCATCAGCAAAAGGAAGTAAGTAAAGAGACAAAAAGCAATTATTTTAGAGATGAGTAAGTAACTACATATTGCACTTTTTAGTACTCTTTAAAAGTATTGTCAGCTACTTGAAGTGTGTCATGGATTTGCAAGTGGTACCATAAAGGCTTGTTCAGGAATGACGCGGCAAAATCGCTGCATTTTTTTTTTATCATGACGTTAAATGTAATACTTTTCACATTTCTGTATATAATAACATAGAGCTTAGTAAATATAAATGTATGCGCAAGTCGAAATTCACTTACTCGTAATTTTTTTTTAACTTTAAAAAACGCGGCAGCTTTTTTGCGGCGGTTCACCGCGTCATATATGAACAAGCCTTATTAAGTGTGTTCTCTTTAAACTTAAATAGTGCTCTTTTGTTGTTTGAAATCAGGGATGAAAGTATAATAAATAAAGTCTAAGTCTGTAAACTTTATCTGAGACACGTGAGTCTCAAATGTCTGAGATTCTTTTATGTCTTCAAGATATGATTTTCTAAAGAACTACTCTCGAGCATATATTGCATCCCATGACATGCTGCATCGATTTTTATTTCATTGACCATTATATGTACAGCAAGTAGCTAACGATGATAACAAATAATTTTGTTTAACCAGGGAAGCCTCAATGCTGGTTTTCCCGAGAGCCCTGCAATTATTATCACCCAAGCAATTGCCAGGTACCCATTTACACCTGGGTAAAGAGTGGTAAATTTGATTGATGTCTTGCCACAGGACGTGAGTGTCGGGCTGGGATTCGAACCCTTAACCCTCGGACTGAGAGTCAAGTGAATAAACCGCTATACCACGACACCACTATACCATGACACCAATATCTCGCGAAACGACATAAGCCGGAACATCATCTTTATCGATTAATGTTGTGTACAATCAGGGGTGTTAAACAATTCTGTAAAAAAAAGGTCATCACATTTTCAAGAGCCTTTTGGGTACCGAAGTGTGTTTTTCAATCAGAGGTACTGCTGGAAAACCAGGACAAAAGCAAGGCAATCAGTAAAAAGGAACGAATATCATTATTGCTTTGAAAAGGATTTTTAACCACTTGAAAATAATGGATCTTTTATAGAATGTTCAAAAATATTTGAGAGTAGCTTCAAATGCATTGGACACTGTGTATATATTTCAAATCCACATATATCTTAAAGAATAATTTTATTGATATATATATTTTCATTTCTAGAAAATTTGATGTGAAAGTCTGTTTCCTAATGTCTTGAATTACAGCTTTCACGAAAATGATACGAATTTCGATATAGGCCTAATACAATTATTTTGATAAGAATTCCTTTATCAATTTCATTTTCTGATACCCCTTTACAATCAGTCTTATAGTTGAAGACTATACAACTGTCGTCTACTCGAGAAAACTCAAGTGTATTGTAGCTTTTTTAAATGCGATTATACCTTGGTGAACATATCCCCAAGAAAAAGAATTTCAATGCATAGTCACTTACCGTTTAACGCTCCTCCAAAATGCAGGAGTAGTTGAAGCCGGAAAAGCTTAGGTTACTGGTATATATTTATAAGCAAGTCCTGGCAGTTGTGCATCCTCGAAGACTTTCCTCAACGCAGTTTTGCTGTCTGAGGAGGCATATTTTCGCCAGTCTGCAAGTATTTCCAGTGCTACCTTGTAAGCATCGCTGGTTTGTTTCCCTGCCTTATACTTTTCAATTTGCTCTTCAGTTACCTCGAATGCTTCACCATACTCTTTCAATTGGTTCTGAATTTTGACGGCTAGAGCAAGAAAAGCATCCACGTCCACGATCACATCTTTCTATAATTTTGGAATAATTAAGAAAAGCAAAAACAGCCAATAATTACCTAAATTCCATTAATAGGCATATTGATCCAAACACAGTGTTTATTTTAAACGCCCTCTCAATAGATGTAGATAAATGTGAAAACGAGTGCAACTTTTTACAACGACAATTTAGAATGCTAAGAAAATGAAAATAAAATTAAGATAAGATCTACAAAGAGTGTAACGCGCAAGTTTTTGTACTTCTTACTGCTCTTTTCAAATCATTCAGATTTGCTAGACAACATTAATTTGAATAATGCAATGACGGAGCCAGATTTTAAAATTTAGATAATAAAAATAATAAATAATTACAGTGCTTATATAGCGCCTAACACTTACTTTGTCAGAAGTCTCTAAGCGCTCTACAATAATGCAGCATAATTACCCTGGCTTTAGCAGTGCAGCTGTTACGCGCGCGGCGTTTCAAGGAATAAATTCCTACCAGGTACCCATTTACTTCACTTCAGATACGAGGGTGCAAAGCAATTTAGACTCAGAAAATGCATTTTCTGCCCTTCACTCCTGTTGAGTGTATTTGGCCCTTGATGAAATGCATATTAAATCTTAAATTTTTAGAAATTCTAGGTGTCCGTGTCGAAAAGTGGGAAATCGAAATCTTGGACAAATGAACTTTCATTGTTTTTTTGCTTTCATAGGCGGCGGAGGGGGGGGGGCTAGGAGCTGCAGCCCAACCGGGATTTTATTTCTAAAATTCCGATATTCGGGCAGTAGGGTGCAGAATATCCATATTCGATCAGCAGAGGTGTCTGGATGTGTAATTTCAGTTATTTTTTTACTGTCAACAATTTTAGAAAACTAAAAATTTAGAGATTGAAAGACTTGAGCCAGTGATATTCGGGTAAAAGGCGTTCGGGTAAAATTTGCCCGTACGGCTTTGTTAGCTATAGGGAATATATACAAAGATGGGTTGTCGCATACAAGAATAAATCTCAAAAAGTATTGAAAAGATCTTCATTAATTATTCGCTTTTAATTTTAGAGTATAATCTAGAAGTGGTGACGATTCTACACTGATCTACAAAAGAAGCTTTTGTGAGAACTCGCATTTTTCAAACGGTACAAAGGGAGCACGATTAAAATTAATAATACATCTGTACACGACAAGCTTATGTTCATTACCTCTGCATTTCGAGACAACCATTGCCATTGTAAAGGTATTTTATATCATAATTTTTTTCATGAAATTAGCGCTGACACATTTAAGGTAGATCTTTTTTGTCTTTTTGGGGGCAAGATGGTTTTTTTAAAGCAAAATAAAGTTTTCCAAGAAATTTTCGATGCAATTGATGATTAACTTACTTCTTAAACTCGGGTGTATTTCTGTGATCACGTCGTGAAAAATGTACCGTAGGGAACAACCGTCATTTAAAAATAAATTAACAAATATCATACCTATGCACATAATTGCTATTTTCAAGTAAGGCAACAAACACTAAATATTAATTCTATGATATCCAATATCAGGAAGTCTGTGAACATTGGTTAAAATCATGTACATGTAGAAGTTTTCCTTTGGGTTCCTACACAAATGATTATATTTGATATGGCCATTGTGGCTCTGATAAATCAAAGAACATATACAATTATCTTTATTCTTGTATTAATGACATTTATTCATTTCTTAATATCCTTTTTCAGAGAAGAATCAAATTCATTTAAGAGCTTGCAGGAATACAAGGAGTTGACAAAAGAGAAAGATTCTGTGTAGCAAATGATACGTTGTTAATTACCAAAATTATAAAATCTTGAGAGAAATGACCTACTCACAATTATAACAGACTTGGCTGGATCCATGACGAATGTAGAAAATTATCAGCAAAGACCGTTTGAATTCAGACAGCTCCTGATTTGAAGAAAGGTTGGGTATGGGACTTTGCTAAAAGGATGGTGAATTTATATTCATTAAAATGTAGGCGGAGCCTGTAAGACTCTGTATTCTAAAAGGCTCGAACAAGTTATTTGGGGGAAAGAGTCATAACGGCCAGGGCAGGTGTTAAAAAAGGGAGTGGCTAAGCGTAAAACTCTACCAATCGGCAGTTTGTATTATCTATAGGCAGCCACATGATGCTATTGAGTAATGGATATCCATCTACCACGGTCGAATAACCAATCATTGACCAATGGCGTGTGTTATCCAATCTAACTACACCATTTTGGGGGGCAAGCTTTTCATTTTTCACGTGACAAAAAGTTAAAAATAGATATTATCAAAATATGTATGTCAGGCTTAATGTAAGTCTCCATCTGACCGTGCCGTGTGCATGCATCTAGTTTTATTTGTATTTAATTTTTGAGAAAATTGTTGATGATTGACAATGATCTCTTTTTGAGACGTTAATGGTGTATCCGGCTATAAGGATCGAAATATCCTCCTACAGTACTTAAAATTTAGATGCAGTATTATCTTTATGGTTATCATTAAAAAAACATCATTCTACCCTGTCAAACTTATTCATTCTCTACAATTAATCTTCGGTAAAGGAAAGTCACAAACAAGTATCAAATCTTTTTTTTTAATGTCACAAATAATTTCTACTGCATGGTCATCCACTAGTGCCCCCTCTCTCTCCCTCTCTCTTTCCATATATGTTTCTGTCGCTTTCAGTATTTAACTTTCTGTCGTTTTTTTTCGATCATTTCGTACAAACATCTTTGCTTTCTAAGAAATAATTTTAATCGTTGCCTTCGGGTGGAAAGTGACAAATGTGTATTAATGTCTCGTCAAAGGACATCAGTGCCACGGCAGGGTTCGAACCGCGAACCATGTGATCCACACTCTGGTGACGTATGCACCAGACCACGACATGTCTAATTGGTCATTTCATTTGACATATAGTTGAAATTAAAAGCTTAAGAGATTGCAACCCAAACTGATCAAATTTCATGTTCAATTCCTGCCAAAGTGTTTAGGAGTTAATTTAAGTTTGTATACACTTTATTATGAAAAGGAAATATAATATGGCCTTTGAATCTGAAACTTTTTGAATGAGAACCTCGGACTGATTGACTAACCTGAACTATGTCAGATACTATACATGTGTACGAAATACTGCAAATAGTCCATCATTATACCTTTTCCCTTTAAAAAACATCAAAACGAAACTTATTTAGATGCTTTACTGTTTTTAATAGATAACGTAAACGTTTCATGCGGATTTGAGATGCACGAGATAAAGTAACGTTGCATCAACTTTCTTTGTATGTACTTTTTAGAAAAAATATCATATTGATGATGTAAATTCTGTGCCAAGTTCTGTTTTCGATGTACATATTTCCAAATACTCCCACCCAGTAGAGGTTTTAGAGGGGGAGCTTGGGATCTCAAGCGCTCCCACAAAATGTATTACATGAAATAAATTAATTTAAGTGAGGTACATGTAGAAACTGAATGTAAGACCCCCCCCCCCCCCCCCTCCCCCCTCGATCCCCCTTGAAATCAGTCTATGTCCGTCAAGGGTAGATTAAAACTGGTCTTGCCTATTATAGTAGGCTATTTAATCATAAACATATATATAAATACATGTATATATTTTTTTTATAAATATTATTTTATATATTTTTTTAGGGTCAGCTATATGCCTATATATATATATATATATATATATATATATATAGGTCGTAGGTAACGTATTGTACTTTATTAAGATTAAGGTATCACTAACTGCACCTTGCACAAGAAGCCCAAAATATCTGCATAATTTGAGATTTTCAAAAACTGTTTTTCAGTCTAATTAAATTACAATGGTTTTGTTTTATTTCTTTCTCGTTTTTTGTTTGCTTTTGTTTTTTCCCGGAAAGGAGACATCCCACCGACAGACATCGCATAGCCTTGGCCGGTATTGGAGGGGCCTAGGCTGCGCATGAACATGCAATCCGAGAAGCCTGTTCAATGTACCGAACCGGGCTGGCCAGAAAATACGCACAAAACGGTCAAATGACTTTATGTTGACAGCCTGTCTGGAATCTCCGCAAAATGCGAAAAATTGAACAGCGTCGATTTTTTTTTTTCCCCCTCCTTTTTTCTGCTTCCATTTAAAATTATCAAAAAACTTGAATTCGGCGTAAATATTCATAATTGAATGACACACGCCCATAAGACTAAAACAACAACAACACAACAGATTAAGCATTTTTGCAGAATAATTATGATATTTATAATATACAAACTAGTTAAACTCCTCAGTAGGTGCACTAACGTGTTATATACAGTTAAAACAATAGAAGATAGTTCAAGAAGTAATAATTTGCAGTTATGTATTAGGTTTTGAAAACTGTTGAAATTCTCTTCCCAGAGCCCATGAGGTCAGTTTTGTTCCAGTCAGTTTCGTCCCAGGCATCAAATGTATGTGTTTGTCATTACAACCTAAAATATCGTACCTAGATTCACTGCCTACGTCTTTTTCACCTCGCCATCTCAAACAAACGTGTGTATTAAACCATAAATGAAGAATGGGTCGGCCACAATAGAAGATCCAGGGGTTTTGGAACTGAACGTGCATTCCACCACGTAGCACCCATTCTATGTAGAGTCGTGACATCATCCAATTTAAACTGAGGGTAGGATTAGGAGCTTTTCTACATTGGATCACAGCTTCTAGCAAAATCTAGGATTATCATCCTTTGAACATTATCACACTATCAGAGTTTGAGAACCATGTACTTCAACTTAAATGTATACACAAATACCTGTCTCCTCACCTGAAAAGGT